ATGTCGCCCCTGCGATTCGTTGTGGTGGCGACGGTGAAATTGGGAGGAGTGATTGTCTTCGACTTCCTCACCAACATCGTCTCTCTCCTCGTCCATGCCATCGTCCTCACCTTCAGCATCTCCTTCGTTACTGTCGTCCTCCTCACCACCGCCCTCCTCCTCCTCACCACCGCCCTCCCCCTCCTCACCACCGCCCTCCCCATCCGAACCACCGCCCTCCCCATCTTGACCCTCACATTCCTCGAAGGCACCTGCACCTCCCTTTGAACGATGTTGGGTACCAGCCCGATAGCGCACAGCTCCGTCGTCGTAGTTTGTGGCCTCGCTGGACTGCTCGGCCGCATCGCGACCTTGCCGATCCGAGGGCGGAACCGGAGCGGGCAGAGCCTGGACAACCGCAGCCGACGAAAACGGGGCAGTCGGCAATTGCTTCCTCTTTCCACCCGCTCTGGCCGGCTGATCTTGGCGTCGTTTGGGCCCCGCAGCTGACGAAGACGAGGCGTCAATTGGCACGAAACCATGGTCAACTTGCTGGGCAGCAGGCAGCCTCACGAACTCGTCCCTATATCGCATAACGAAAGCTGCGAGTTGGTCCGCCGGGATGTTGAATTGGACCAAAGGTCTGCTGAGCATGAAAGCGCTGTCGGCGACAGGCAGGGAACCAGTCACTCGGTAGCCATTGGTTTTGGAAAGAAACTTTTCCGGATCCAGCATTTGGAACTCCGTTTCGTTCCCGCGCACGTCAAACGCTTTTATCGACAAAGCCTTGACCCCGTATCATTGGAAGAGTCGATGGTCAAGAGACACCTTCTTATCTTCCTTGACCCAGTTTTTCCCCTCTATGTCATAGACAGACGTAAGGAAGAAGGTCCTGAACTTCCTGCCGTCTTAGGTAAACCTCCCAACTTCAAATTTCTCCACCCTTCCGAAGCAGTACCAACTCAGGCCATTGTCATTGCTAAAAAAGACAACGGCTCCGCAACCCGGCATATGAAGGCCACCTACCCAATCAAGAGCCCATGGTTTGTCTTGGTAGAGCTTAGACCTGCCGTACCGTTTTTTGGGGGAGGAGGCGGACGCTGTTTTTCCTGAAGGGTCGCACAGAAAAGGACAACAAGAAAACAACACTAAGTGACATGAAGAAGCATCCGTTGCGGCAGGGGAGTTTCGCTACCGCCCCACGCAGCGGGTCTGGCGTTCCTAGAACGCCGTACCCCACGACCGTTGTGTGTGCGGGTCCGGCGTCCCCAAAATAGCAGACTCCACCAGCGTGCCTGTCGGCACGGTGGTCGGCCGAACCCCTCCCTCGCCCGCCTCGTCGACGAAACCCCGCGGCGTTTCATGTCCTTCCCTCCCACTACCTCTAGCAGCACCGAGCGGGGTCCGGGGTTCCCAGAATGCTAGACCCATGTCGGTGCTGCGAGAGAGTAAGGGGGCCCCTCCCTCCCCGTCGCTGACAACAGCACCAAGGGGGTACTGCGTTTCGGGAACGCCGCACCCCCTTTGAGGTGCGGGGGAAGAAGTGGGTCCGTCCCCTCCCCTTGATGGCCACAGCACAACGGGGGTCCGGCTTTCCCGGAACGCCGGACCCCCTTTGTGCGGCGGGGGAGGACGGGAACGCCGGACCCCCTTTGTGCCGCGGGGGAGGACGGGGGTCCGAGATCCGATCCGACGATGGGCATAGCACGAAGGGGGTCCGACGTTCCCGGAACGCCGGACCCCATTTGTGCTGTGGGGGATGAAGGGGGTTCGTCCCATCCCCTCGATGGCCACAACACCAAGCCAGGGCACCCCTCGCTCCCCTGAAGCGCGAATGGGGTCCGAC